CACCGCACAGTAGACAATACATATCTAGTCAGACAATAAAATGTAGATTATGTCATAAATAGTTCATATATACGTAGAGAGTTTATAACCATTTAATAGGACGTAGGCGTGATCCAGAGAGATGATGGAAGGCGGAAACCAAACCAAGATGGCGCAAGTCCTTAGATCTTCTTCATGTCGTTCCTTCGTTTGTAGCAGAAAGACTAAAAGAGAGACGGAGAAAAGCAAAAACTGCTCTGTGTAATCATGAGCTGCCCGATAGTATAGGTTGTCTCAATGCGCGATGAATAAATATAGTGTCTCGGCGTGTGATACACTATAGTGAACTGTGAAGTATGTTTAGTTCGAATTGCGTGTGGGGTGTATACGCGATGGCATATAGTAGGAAATAACCTCGGAAATAACAGTGTATAGTACTATGGGAATTGTCTTGATCTGGTAGGCTAGATAAGTACCTACTATGTACTGGGTTTTGTAAAAAACGCCTTGCAAATGCAGGTGATCATGTCATGAATTAGTATTTCAATATTGTAGCGCGTGCCATTTGTCGTATAAAATGCGAAAATCGCTGTTGACATATTTTGTGAGACTGGGGTTTTTGTACAGGAGAATATGTTGTATTTTATTGACAGTTAAATGACGATATGACGTTCAAGCAATTTTGATGCTTTCCATATATTTACTATTCAATTTTAGAAATCTCGGCTGCGCAATTTCCAAGCTTTCCAGTCAAAAATATGCGGAAACCCATGAAAGTGGAATGTCAGTAATAAAATCGTCTAACCCAACTGCATATACCTCCACCAGCGAATTAGGGCTTCATGTGCTCTGCCGCGTCCAATATCGAGTGTGCTTGGCAAGAAATGTTTCCTCTACAGTGGGATTAAAATCTGTTCTGAGCATTCCTGAACGAGTGAGAAACCGACAATCTTTAAATTCTTTCACTAGCAGTATTTCCTCTGTCAGTTTGTAATTTTATACCTTATATAGTCGATACAAGAGTGTGGGATTTTGCGTTGTGGAATCTTTTATAGACAGTATTTGGATAATGATTTCTTGGGTCTCCACCGGGTTTGGAGGGTAGACTATATCGTGAGATATTGTATAGTAAGGGCATAATGTATGTATAAATGCGTGTGCAGGGTGTTCTGCATATCTTGTATTTCGATCCATACACGCGTGTTGTGGCTGAGGTTATGTGCAGGTAGTTTGTGAATTTATTCTTGATTGAGATATATTATTTGGTACAGTACATGTATATATATATTATAACCTAGAGATTCGTGTATAGCGTATTGTTTGCTATATGCATGCTTCCAATTGGCTTGTATAGCTGGCTAGCGCTACAGTTTTAGGATATCTTAGGAGTTACAGACTAATGAAGTACTCTATTTACCACTTCGGGATCAGGCAAAGGATACATAATCTTACAAATGTGGTTCACTGGGAAAACAAAACAACATGAATATATCTGACCACAAGGAGTTAGATTATAAGACGAGAGTATTCTTCGAGCCTGGCATAATTTGACTGGCCATATCGAGGAATGGACGCAAATACTATGTATAGCTGCTTTCAAGCAAAATATGTTACGCACGCGGGCAATAACATAATAGGAGCATACTGTGAAGAAATTACCTTCTCGAATTTTGTATGTTTATTTAACAAAGACGATGAAAGAGTCCTAGGTAAATACAATGAATAGAAATTATAACTATGCACGTTCTATACGCAAATAGCTACATAAAGGAATAGGATAAATACAAAGTAAGAAAGACTTACAATAATATAGAAATACGACTTGAAACTAGCGTATATTAAAAACAAACAACATCTGATGAACTCATAAAGACTTCAAATATAAAACCAATGTCAACAAGAGAGCGAGTCAGCGGTTATACTAAATAGTCCTACATAAGTACTTCATGAAAACTCTTCATCCCCCCAGTACGGAAACCTATAGTGTAGCATAGGATGACGGATCAATGTTCTATCCATGTGCCTGTCTCGGGTTCGAATCGTTTCGGTGGCCGGCATTCACGCCTTGGGCGTGTGGACTGACTCGATGGTGGTGGCTGCGAATTTGGTGTGTGCGGGGCGACGGGCGGTTAGTCACTTGGGACACCTTGATCGGGGGGACCCAGACTGTCGATCGGTGCTGGGTTCGCTACAGGTGTGTTGCAAGGTGAGGTCTGTCCTGGGGGTATTCTCTGGTTTTGGCAAGGGCACCGTGCGAAATAGGTAGGGTGTTGAATTCAGCTGATCAGTGCTGCTGGTGGGCAGGGATGGTTCTGCCAGCGGCAGTTTGGTGGACGGAGTTGCTGGTGTATAGACACGGAGGAAACGACGGTTGCGCAGTGTGAGTCGTCCGGAACCATCCACTTTTACCCTATATTGGTCGTGACCTGGTGCTTCAACAACTGTTCATGATCGGTCCCAATTGGTCGGACTGGCGCCTTTCTGGTTCTGGAGGAATACTCTCTCACCGATGGTCATTGGGCGGAGTGGTCTGACGCAAAAGGGGGCGGACGTTTGGGTTTGAAAACTTTTCCAGTCGGTTAACAAAAGACAGTGTGTCCCGTAAGGGGTGGCCGAAAATTATTTGTGCTGGTGAAAGGTTGCAATCTGGATCAGGGGTACTGCGCAATTGCAACATGGCTCTCAGGAACCGATCATGGTCAAGGCTGCCGGTTGGCCCTGTGTTAGACATTAGAAGGCGCTTGGCTGTTTTCACTACAACCTCGGCTCTACCGTTGGATTGAGGGAAGGCGACGGAGGAGACACGGTGCTTGACGCCCCATAGGCGAAGGAAATCCTCAGTATGGCTTGCCATAAATTTTGGGCCACCGTCGCTTGAGAGCTCCTCTGGTACCCCAAACGTTGCAAAGAACGAGCGGAGATGTTGAACGAGGCCCATCGATCCGCCGAGGTTGGTACCTGCTGTTGAGCTCAGCACCTCTACCCAGTCGGACAGAAAATATTGCTTCAAAGGGGGTTGGTCGATGTGGGGGTAAACATGACCCGCAACAATGCAAATATCGCGATGCTGAGTGTTTCCTGTGCCACAAGAAAGGACACATAGCAAGAAAATGTCGAAGCAACAATAACCAGGTGATCTCGTGTTCGTATTTTAGCCAATCAGCGCTCAGAAAGGGTTGTCCGAATAGAAATCCATTTTGATGTATTCAGTCAATTGTATCTTTCATTATTATTTATGAAACTAGTTGAAATTTTGCAATTATGTTTGGTTATGAGAACTATAGCTCTGACAAATATATGGAATCGAAATAAAGTATATTACAGGAGATATTCAGTTGTTTTAATCATAAAATGGATTTCTATTTGACAACTAGTGCCAGTACTTTTCCGCGTATCAAGATCACCTGGAAGGCCACTGGAAAAAATCAACGAAAAGACAACCCTAACTCAGGCACTAGCAGCAACTATTTAAACATGAAGGATGACGAGATCGAAGAGGAAGACGACAACTATGGGATTTATAGTCTGGGCAAAGGGCAAGCTGAGCCATATGTTGTTGATGTACTGGTGAGGAATGAAAGTCTAAAGATGGAAGTAGATACTGGTGCTGCAGTTAGTGTAATGAATGAGGATACATATACATTATTGAAGAAAAAACACCCAAACCTAGAACTGAAGGAATCAAAGATAAGACTAAATACCTATACGGGAGAGCAAGTTAATGTGTTGGGTCAGGTGGAGACTTCGGTACCCGGACATTTTGCCGAAAGACACTTTGCCGAAAGACATTTTGCCGAAAGACACTTTGCCGAACGGACATTTTGCCGACGGACGTTTTGCCGAACGCACGTTTTGCCGAACGGACATTTTGCCGAACGGACTGTTTGACGAACGGACAGTTTACCGAAAGGACAATTTGCCGAAAATAGAGATGTTATTTCGTCAAAATGTTTGAGACTGTGTAATTCATTGTGTAAGACTCATTTCTCAACTGTGTAATTCAAAACCATTGTGTAAAATGACCATTATGTGGTCATTAGCAATACATAATGGTCGTTAGCAGTGCATAACTATATTGACTATTCGTAGCTTTTTGTGCAGCGGATGACTCGATCATCTGTTAGGAACGTGCTTTGACGATATAAAGACAACGACGTAAGTGAATTTCACTTCGATAATCATGGAATACATTCACAGTTCTCGGGGAAATTTCTATAAATTTGTCAATTCACTATAAAAGTTTCTGTCAATCAAAATCGACAATGACTTTAATCACAGAAACTTTGACCGTGTAAGCGAACCTTTAAGGTTCAGAAGATATCTCTATTTTCGGCAAGTTTTCCGTTCGTCAAACTGTCCGTTCGGCAAAATGTCCATTCAGCAAAATGTCCGTTCGGCAAAACGTCCGCTCGGCAAAACGTCCGTCGGCAAAATGTCCGTTCGGCAAAATGTCTTTCGGCAAAATGTCTTTCGGCAAAATGTTTTTCGGCAAAGTGTCTTTCGGCAAAATGTCCGGCCACCGGAGACTTCGGTGAAGTATGAAGATCAAGAAGGCGTATGGCCTTTACTAGTCATAACGGGGAAGGGCCATAACTTGATTGGCAGAAATTGGCTCCAAAAGATTAAAATAAATTGGAAGAATTTATTTCAGTTAAAAGAGGACAAGAATACCTCAGTCAAAGTTAATAAGTTACTTGAGAAGTATGAGAAAGTGTTTCATGAAGAGTTAGGAACATTTTCTGGTCCCAAAGCCAAAATATATGTGGCTGAAGATGCAAGTCCAAAGTATTACAAGGCAAGACCTGTTCCCTGTGCATTGAGGGAAAAAGTAGAAAAGGAGTTAGAAAGATTGCAAAAAGAGGGAACTATAGAGCCTGTCCAGTTTGCAGATTGGGCATCGGGTACTTCATCCGGATAAAATGACACCACCAATGGCTGCAGCTCGAATTCAGCGGTGGGCCTTAATTTTGTCTGCGTATGACTACGCCTTTCAGTACAAAGAAGGAATTCAGAATGCAAATGCTGATGCCCTCAGTAGATTACCACTGCCAGACACCCCAGGTTCAACACCAGTTCCTGAAGAAACAATCTTACTCATGTAACTATTGGAGACTACTCCAATAAGAGCAGAGCAAGTGAAGAACTGGACAAAGAGAACTCCTATACTTGCTAGAGTTTTGAAATTTATTAAACAAGGTTGGCCTAGCAAGTGTCCAGATGGGGAGTTTCAACCATATTTTCAACGACGAGACGAGCTGAGTGTTCAAGACGACTGTATACTTTGGGGGAACAGAGTGGTTGTTCCACCCCAAGGAAGAAGGCAAGTGGTTGACGAATTACATGAAACCCACCCAGGAATATGTAAGATGAAAAGTCTAGCAAGAAGCTACGTGTGGTGGCCAAACATGGATAACGATTTGGAAAACAAAGTACGAACGTGCAACAACTGCCAGATAAATAGAAAGAATCCTCCTGAAGCGCCACTGCACCCGTGGGAATGGCCAAGTCGACCATGGGAAAGAATTCATATTGACTATGCTGGTCCATTCTTGGGGAAAATGTTCCTCATCATGGTCGATGCGTACTCAAAATGGCTCGAAGTGCATCCAACGAATGTGGCAACATCGAGAGCAACAATTGAAAAACTTCGATCAACATTTGCAATCCACGGCCTTCCTAAAACAATTGTTAGTGATAACGGTAGTAATTTTTGCAGTGAAGAATTCGAAGAATTTCTGGCGAAAAACGGCATTCATCACAGAAGGACTGCTCCTTATCATCCAGCCTCCAATGGACTTGCAGAACGGGCGGTCCAGACGTTTAAGGAAGGGATGAAGAAGATGTCAAATAAGGAAAGTTTGGAAACTAGAGTGTCTCGGTTTCTCTTCAAATACCGTTTCACGCCACACTCAACCACAGGGATAGCGCCAGCGGAAATGCTTATGAGCAGAAAACCAAGATCTTCCGGCCCTTGGACGTACTACATCCAGATGTAAGACAAAGAGTACAGGACCAACAGAAGAAGCAGAAAGAGTTACACGATCAACATGCAGTGGATCGACAATTACGACCAGGTGATTTAGTATATTCGAGAGAATATGGAAAACAACAAAAGTGGTGTCCAGGAGTGATCAATACACAAACCGGGCCAGTTTCCTATACCATACAGTTGGAAGACGACCGCGAGGTTCATCGCCATCAAGATCAGGTGATCCATAGAGAAACACCCGAAGAAAACGAAAATGACGTCATGGATCCAGATATCAACCAGCAACCCGTTCCAGACCAACAAGTGGTTAGCGAAGAAAATGCAGTTCCAGCAGCCCGATATCCGCAAAGAGATAGACAGACACCGGACTATTATTCGTGAGTAATTACATTAATTTTAGAGTATAAAACGCTAAGGGATTATAAACTGTTAGGTTATAGTGTTGACATTATTAGTTTAGATGTTATGTTGCAGGGACTCTGGTTTTAATCCAGGAAAAAAGGAGTGTAACATCCGGGAGTTAGCACTTCCGGCGGGAAAAAACAGGCACCTCGAGGAGAACTAGACAGCTGTATTAACAAGGGAGTTTTACTTAGCATAGTTGGGTTTTAAGGTTAAAA